AGTATATAAAGATAGAACTAGTAGGATTGTGTACCTGAATCTGAGTGGCGTATTGAGTGGAAGGGTTGGGTTGCTGGAGGAGGAGATGTTGTACGTCGTGATATTGATGCTCAAGGCATCTTCTTCTGAGTTTTCTATGTGGTTTTAATCTTTGTTATTCTCTCATGGACTACAACCTTAGTTACGACCCTACCGTGGCTCGGGAACGCGACTAAGGCGCTGTTTCTACTACGGTAGTTTCTACTACGGTAGATTCGTGCTTGCTGTTATTTGCTCATTTATGCTCTTTTATGCTCATTTATGCTAATTTATGCTTATTCTGTGTTCATTTAGGCTAAATTATGACCTTCTATGTTCATTGAAGGGGATGATAATCTTATTTCATATATTATTAAGTTTTCGTCTTATCTAATGACGACGAAGCATGTTTGTTCTTCACCACCTACTCTTTTCATAATTTCCCACTCTATGTTGTACCAGTTGTGGGAAGAGGGACGATTCCGGTATTGAAGGCTCTCGCGCGTCGTACACGCACTTCCGTTACAAGGAACCTGGATTAACCAGAGTGTCCAAGTATCGCGATCAGCGGCTTAGAAGGTGAGGTGGCATGGTGCGCAACGGGTGATGCGTATATACACGATTCCGCTACGATAAGGACGGAGGGACACCCGACACGAGGCGCTACTATCATGCTCGTCGCGTCTTGTGTGACGTAGAAGAACGGAGAGTGGGCGGTTGTTTGTCCAATCGAGGTCCGTAGGAACGCGGCACTCGCGGAGAGCGGTGTGCAATCCGGACTCAAGTGAAGCTGCTCGGTGCGACGATTCCCCGGGTGGCATGGTCGGTAAGACCATCGCTACCGCCAATATCGATTGAATCGGCACAAGCAGGCCATGTCGAGTTCGTGGCTGGTGTTGCCTTAGGAATCTGCATTACCTCGTTGTGTGCATTATTTTGCATGTACGCGAGGGGGAGGTCTGGGAAGGTGAATAGTAGGAAAGGGAGGTGGTCTAACTGCGGACGCTATTGGATGGAGAACAACGGTTTCACCTCTAACTAACACCCACCGCATGTTACACAGTATCCAAGAGGAAATGCGGCATCTAGCCCGCTACCACCAGGTGTGCCTCCAAGAGTGCCAGCGCAACCTCAGTACGGAGCATACACGGGTGTTAATATACCTCTGGCTATTTTTCAACCGACAAGTATGCCTCCGCCGTACCAAGTGCCGCATCAAGCGGCGTGGGGTTCTCAACAGTGGGCCATCGGTCAATCCATGGCAAAGCGGGCAATGGATGACTCAGGCGCATCCCGCACCAGGTCCCGTACCTGTCCACGTATCGGCGCCAGCACCGGCTCCAGTATTCGTTGGGCATCCGCAAGCAAGCAATCACAACGCTCTTGGTGCAGGACAACCTTCAACCGAAGGAAGGGGAAAAGGACCAGCTGCTAACAATTTCCCAGGACCTGGGAATCGTGCTTATTTCACCAAGGAATATATGGAAATCCTCGAGGGAATCAAGATCGATAAAGTGCTCGATCAAGCCAAGAAGAAGATAAGAGTGTAGAAGAAAAGCGGTGTGAAGATAGTGGAGCTTCCTGATGAAGAAAGCCGCTCAGAGACACGTCCGAGCGCAAGGAGTGACGATATGAAAGCTTGGGTCACCTCCACCCTCGGGAGCTCACTGAAACTAATCAATGAGAAACTCGAGGAGGTGGACCAGAAGGCGAAGATGACGACCAACGAACGTGCGGAATTGGAGCAGCTTCGTCTGGAAAAGCTGCGTACGGATAAGGAGAAAGCAAAGAAGGGGAGTAAGGAGTCCAGCAGCGAAAAAGGGAAGCGTATGGGGGCCCGCACACCGGTGGAGAACTCACCTTCCGCCGCGAGGGTTAAGTCCAGATCGCGTCCTAGTACGAAGACGCGTCCGAAGCGCATTGAGATATTGGATGACGAAGGGGTGGCTGGCGTGAAGCAAAACCTCGAACCAAAGATGGAAAGTTCCAGCGAGCTGGCGGACATTAAGCAAATGCTTGCTGCACTCCTCCAAGGGCTCAGCAACCCCAAAGGGAAGGAGAAGGTTGTGGAGCCACAGTTCTCGCCCCCAGTTGCCATGGGAGAGGAGGAGGACACTGACGTGGTCCAGAATGCCAATGTGGAGGACGATGAAGAAATTGACGATGGTGGACTAGCTGCATACATGAAGATTCGCCTGGAGTACTATAATAGCTCATTGCACTACACAAGAGTGCAGGAACTGTGCAAAGCGAAGAATGTGCAGTATTTTAGGAAAGAGATGGGAGTCTGGGAGCTCGCTCGAATCGATCTGCAGGAATACACGGACACTTTGAGTGTGGGACAGAACGGCGAATGCTCACGAAAGCAACGCATCAACACCAATGAGCACGCATCTGCTACCGAAGCAAATGCAGTAAAGGAAAACTGAAGGGATGTGGCGTGCGCTCCTTAAGACGGGCCGCTGCCCGTATTGTCGCCTTGAAACCTGTCGTCATGAAGTCTGTAAGGGTGATCCTTGATCGGATTCACCTCTTAATCATCCTCTTAGCTTCCCTGCAAGAGGATATCAAGTGGGGTAATGCGTATGTGGATTTGTGGCTGGCGCTTTCGAAGAGCGATAGGAATAGATTACTCGACGCGAGCAGCTGTGTATATGTGCTGATGTCACTCAATCACAAGCTAGTGTACGTCGGGAAAACAGTTAGATCACTGCACGATCGATGGGGGGAGCATTGTAGATCTGCGAACAGGAATAGCAAGCAGAAAGTGCATTAATGGTTGAGAAAAGCAGACACTACTGCAATTTGGTTTGGTAACAATGCTACTTTGGAAAGCTTTGAACTGACCACGATTAAAGGATTCAATCCGGGTCTGAACTCACGTGGAAAAAAAAAACGTGGAAGAAAACGGAGATCCCGGTGTCGAAAAAGAACACATGTACTAACCCCTGTCCAAATGTTGGAACCACTGTTATTCTCTTGCAAGGATGCTGATGTGTGCAATGAGCCTGATCTTCTTCGTGTGCTAAAAACCTTGTCTAAAAGGAAGATGACTAGGATGATCGGAATGAAGAACAATGTTGGTGCTCGATGGCTGAAAGCATGGCGTCTATGTGTTCTGTTGTATGGGCACACAAATATTAAAATGCATGAGGAAAATCTTCTTTTACTTGATGTCAAAAATGCTATTGCAACTGGTGGGAAACTGGTAATTACCGAATTAATCCGCACCCAGATAAAGACTGAACAAAAGAAGACTGAATTGATCTCACTCTTAAGGGCGCCTTGGAAACGAAGGGATTTTTT